GGTGGGTTGGACTAGATGACCTTTAAAGGTCCTTTCCAACCCAAACTATTCTACGATTCTGCTCTCAAGGAGCTGATTTGTGTTGATCTGCCATTTGCTCACTTGCTGCTCTTCATCTTGTCCTTGTCTTTCTATCAACTAGCTTAAGAGGTCAAGCTCCAACATTGAATTTAGATGAAATGGATGCAATCCCCACTTTTTTCATATGCATGTTTGTTCAAAAACAAACAGCAAGAAGTAAATAACAGTGAAAGAGCAACAAGAAGCTGAATTTCATAGGAATAACAAGATTGTCCTTAACTGTAATGACTACCTGTTCCATGCAAAATGGATCCATCCTTCTGGATGCTGGGTCTAGAACCACAAGCCTTCCACCTCTACTCTGAGCTTTTCTATCTGTGAATGTGTTAAAGTTGGCTCTCTTATCTAGGTTTGTGAGAAATGGGGTAATACTGATGCTGCTGCTTGTAGGGATCTGAGCAGAATAAATTTTATTCCTGAAAGTCTTCATTAGCATTGGTCAGGAATAGCACCACACCAAGTACAATGAGGCAGCTGAGCTTTTGCATGTCATGTGGGTGAATCACAAGCTGGATAATTTGCCTCTGGCTAATGGGAATTTATGCATTTCTGATGCATTTTTCCCTGTAAGAGAGATGATAGCTTACTGTATCCCATATGAGTGCAGAATGTTTCTGTTTGAGTTAACAGGTAGGTATTGCTTGCATTTACGTGCACTAAATCCAGTGACAGTAGTGCTTTTATGTTAATTCCTCTGGAAAAGCTAAATTGGTTTTTGGCATTGGATAGCTGTGGATTAGCTAAACCAGCTAACTAGAAAACTAGATAGTAGGCAGTGACTTTGTCATCAGTTTCAGCTGTGTTTTGACAGTTTATAAACATACTTTGTTTATACAAGAAATGGGATGACATGCTCTTGCATACTTCAGGAGCATGGACAAGCTTATAGAATCATAGAATATCTTGAGTTGGAAGGGACCCATAAGGATCGTTGAGTCCAACTCCCTGCTCCTTGTAGGACTACTTAAAACTAAACCAGATGACTAAGAGTATCGTCCAGATGCTCCTTGAACTCTTGACAGGCTTGGTGCTGTGACCACTTCCCTGGGGAGTCTGTTCCAGTGACCGACCACCCTCCTAATGTCCAATATGAACTTCCCCTGATGCCACTTCATTCCATTTTCTAGTGTCCTATCGCTGGTCACCAGGGAGAGGAGATCAGCACCTCCCTCTTTGCTGCCCCTCTTGAGGAAGTTGTAGACTGTAGTAGACCGTAGTTGTAGACTGTAGTAGACCGTAGTTGTAGACTGTAGTAGACCATATCTACACATTTGAGATGTGACCATACATTGTAGTTCCAAAGCAAAAGCCTCTCTGTCTTCTTTTGAATAACTAATCCCAGAGATCTTCCTGTGTCATTAATGTGTTAGTGCTAATGAGGTCCAGCTTGCCTAACTGAGATACATGCTACGCTTTCTTGTATGGTCAAGAGGGGCAACATAAGGCAAAGAGGGAAGATCCAGGAATGGTTTACAGGTGGAACTGCAATTCCCAGGGATCGCACCATTAATTATGAATAGGGCTGGACTGGTATTTAGCTAGTCCAAGGCCAACTTGGCAGAGTCAGCCTGTGTGGCCACTACTGCCTTGTTTCTTCTACTAGCCAGCTATTCAAATAGGCTAACTACCTATTTATTGTAGGACAGACAGCAGAATATGCTGATGTAGCTTCAGCAGTGAAGAGACACCCAGGTTGCTTGTCTAAACCCAATGAAATAGGTCTTTCCCTTCCAACTATATGCCAGCCGAATTCCAAAGGGATGGTTTGTTAGCATTGAAAATTGTTATAGATGGTACTTGGTTAGAGAGGTTCTTTCTGGGCTAAAATTATGGTAGTTGAACTTTCTTAGGCTTCTCTCATACTTAACACATGTTTCTCCCCATCTTTAGAGGGCCTCCACGTCCACGCCCTGCCCCAGTGGCTGGAGAGGCTGAAAACAAAGAGAACCATCATGAGGCCAATGCTATGAGTCAGCAGCCACTTCGTCGTGGGTATAGGCGCCCGTACAACTACCGGCGTCGACCTCGTCCACCCAATGCTCCAGCTCAGGATGGGAAAGAGGTAAGCACACTCCTGGCAAAATGTGGCAGAGACAGAGTTTTGATGGGGTGAGTGCTCAAGACCTTCTGTCCTGTGGGAGTTTTAACAAGTGTATTGGTGTGCTGGAGGAGTCTGGCCAAGTCCAAAGTGCTGATGGTTGAAAGTAGCTTGTTTCATTGCCTGTTCCTTGTGAACTTCTTTTGAGAATGTTATCTTAAATGGAACTAGCAGTGGGATAGGGATTGCTACTGGATAGTTCTTAATTGGGGTCAGACTGTAACAAATATTTTTGAAGTGGAGAGAAACAGTTGTGTTTTCCAGCTTCCTCAAACCTTCAGTCTGTATGTAGTATAAGAGAGAGATTTGAAAGCTCCAGATCCATTTCCTGAACTGCTTGAACCAGATGACTTCAGGGAACTGTTTGCAAACACAGATTTTTACCTTAATGAGGAAAGACTTTCTCATTCTGTATCTACTTGAGGTGGTCCCCTGACAGAATCTGCTGTGTAATACTTAATATATAGTATATTCCTATAGTTAATGTTTTCTGAGGATTTGTCTTCCTTGATTATTTTAAAACCTGGGTTATGCTGGTCCTACCACTGAACAGAGGAAGGATCTGGAGGTCAGTCTTTGCCTCTAATAAAGGTTTATTGTGTCTCAGACAAAGGTGACTGAAACACCTGCTGAAAATCCTGCTCCAGTGACCGAGCAGAGTGGTGCTGAGTAATGTCCGGCTCCCCAGGCACCTTTACCATCCTTCAGGTAAGGAATATAGATAGTTCCTGTTCTCCAACTGAAGCAGCATTGTGTATACTTCTAGGACTTGGACTCTGGCCACATCCCTTTATGTATGGCTAGATACTGTGGTAACTTCTGAGTGCTGTATAGGCAAACCAAGGAACTGCTTGCTGCTTTCTCTTCTTTCTCTCCTCTGCCTCCATGTCCATATTTGTCACAAAGTAAACTTTGCTTTATCGATCTGATTTTTTTTCAGGAAGATCTGTCTGGTCTATATAGCAATAGCATCTGCTGATGAATTAATGTTTTGCTTTAGGAAGATGCTATATTCTCAGCTTACAAATAGGATAAGCCAGTCATGCTTATCCTGTCTGTTATTATGATAACTCCCTCTCCACCTGACATCCCATCTCTTCAACAGGAAAATGAAACTTAAAGTAAATTGCAATTTTTAAAAATTTGGCTCTTCAACAGGTGTCCTAAAATACAACTCAAAAATAACACCAAAGAAACACTCAAGCAATAAATTGTCAACAGTGATAACAAAAGCAAAGATTTGAAACATCAGAACTTAAAAGAAAAAAATTTACCAGCAGCTGAGATCCAGGGAACGCCTGCAAGATAGATGCATGAAGAGAGAAAGAGAGCGAGATTCAGAAAGAGCAACCTCCCCAGTTTCAACAGCAACGGTGGGGAATTTTTTTTTTTTAGAATTTCACTGTTTCGCTAGTATTGAATTTTTCAATTTTTCTTTTGGTATCAAACCAAAAAGGGAAAAAAACCCAACCAAAGAACTGAAATTGAAACTGAATGCTTTTTTTATTGGATGCTGGTGCTAAACCTCCCAGGTGTGATGAGTTTTTTTTTTCTGTGCCAGTCCTGTTCACTGCAGGACATGGGGAGGAGAAACTTCCGCTTTCCTTGGTAAGATCTATTTGAAACTGCAGCATGGGTGACGTTCCTCACAAATAAAAGTGATTTCAACTACCAAAAAAATCGACTTTAGTGTGTTTCTTCATGTTTAGCTTTAAAATAATTCATTATTTTAATCTTGCTGCTTCAGCATTTATATGTGAAAATGAGAGCTGCCTCTTTAATATGTGTTGATGTATCTTGTCTAAAACCATGCTGGATGATACATGTGCATGGACATGGATAGGTTAGGTGGATCTACTTCAATCCAAAACAACTTCTGCAAAGAAATTATACAACAGAGCTACAACCTACACTGTCCTCTCTGCTTTTCTGGCTCAAATGGTGTTAATGGTAGGGTTTTTCTGTTACCTTCTTGTGGCAGGAGTTTGGGGGATTTGGAGTGGGTTACTAGTATATTATTTTCCCCATCTGTTTGCTATAGGCTTTTGTGTTTTGTAAATAGTAGAATCCAAGCTTCAAGACTCCTTGCTCAAAAAGACAAAGGTGGGCTTAGTAACTGCCACTTTATTCAAGCTTCTCTTCCAAATAATGGCAGTACATTTTATTAGCCTCTCTACTTTTCCTGACTTGAAACCAGTAAAATCTCTGTACCTGTGCCATCTTCTGTTAATGAGCAGAGTGCTTAACTGTCTTACTAATGTCTGTGTTTTTCTAATGTTCCTCCCTAAAACTTGGATGTCTTGCAAGTGTTATCAGTCTACTTGCAGCTGTTGAATATGGGTGCATTTCTTCAGTTATCTTGTCATGTCCTTCATTCTCTAGTTAACATTTCTCACGTTCCTGTCTTGCAGTTGCTGTTATCCAAACATTAGATAATGTTTGTTTCCTTAGAACACCTCTTTCTGTTCTTAGCTATGCAATCTTTACCCAGCCTTTACTGAATAACACTTCATGTAAAACCCCTTAGTCTGGAGCAACATTGTAACTACATTTGTAGGACTAAATGAGGGTAGAGAGATTCTTGGCAGGTACTTTCTGTCCTTGTCTCCTCTAGTTTCCCTATTCTTGCACACTATTAATAATTAAAAATTATGAGGTTCTCTGGAGACACTTTCTCATTACTCCTCTGGAAATGAGAAGTAGGGGGAGCGTAGGGGATAATTGTGCTCCAAAGCACTTTGCTTCCAGCTTCTGGGAAGGTGAGGAATGGCCCTTGCCTTTGCCTTGTGGGAGTAGAGGAAGGTTTAGTGATGCATGAGTTGCACTGCCCACAGCTGACTGCACTGGGGATTTCCTGCTTGCTTTTGCAATGAGTTGGAAACTTTTAATGAGGTGTGAAGTGAAAGCTACAGGCTTGGTTCAGGGAAGGAGAATGCTTCTGACTCCCTTGAGTACATACACTGCTGCATTCACTGCAAGCTCACGTAAGTGTAACCTGCTGTTGTAGCACTGGATCACTTACCCAGCAGTTCTCAAAGTATATTGATACAAGGATTGCTGTGAGACTGAGTTTCTGCACCAAATCTGGTAAGCTGTAGACTGGGAAAGATGTTGAGATGGACACAGTGGTATTCTAATGTCTTTCCTTGGAAGATGAAGAATATGGCTGTTTTGACACAGAACAAAATTTAATAAGGTGAGGCAAACATAAGTAATGCATCTTCTAAAAATTCTTAAGCAGGATCATCCTTAGTAGGCTTCAGTTTTGTCCAGAACTAAATCTATTTCAGGCAGATTGGGACAAGGTTGACAGTTACATTGTAATATAAACAGATGTAAGATATTCATGAATATTGAAACATTTATTGCAGAATTTTTCATAAACTATTTGAACTGCTTTCACTTGTTCAAAAGCAAGTGTTTTTTCTTAGTGAGATTTGACAGGCCAAACTGAATTTTCTTAATCTCTGCAAAAATGTAGGTCAGATTTGAGTCAGTTTAACAAAAGCATCTAACTAGTTATCTTTATTGTATGAAAGGAGAAGTTGAGGGAGAGATGCAAGTAGTGTCCTAGCGTCTAGTTTTTTCCTGTTATTTCAGTCCTACCTTTGTGGTAAGAAGAATCTTTGCATAAAACAAACTCATGACTGAGAACCCCCTTAATCCCTGAATTTACGAAAATATAGGCTCAACTCTAGCAAGTCTAAAGCACTTACTAAAACTAAATTTTAGATGTCTCAGGCTGGGCATGAATTGTTCCCATACTAGGTCACTTCTTCTCTTGTCAGCTGAACTTTGGCTGAAGAAATCAAAAACTGGTGCTCAATAGTGAGGGTCACTTCTCTTAGCAACTGTGGTGTTTGTGTACCTGTAAATAAGGCTATGGGTTATTTGCCTCAAGCAGAACTTTAGATGAGTGCTTAGTTTTAGTTTAGTGGTGTGAGGGGGTGTGTGTGTTCTGTGGGGTTTTTTTAAGACTTTTAGCTACAAGAATTTTGAATTTGCAGAGTAGTTAACATGCTTTTATACGTACTTGGAGCCATTGTTTTTGTGCTATGTTCATTCTCTCATTCCAGCATTCTTCCCTTTCATGGGCACTTATAATGGCTTACACTTGGAGCGGATTACACTTTTATAGTGTAATCATTTTACAATGTTTTCATAATACTCTGCCTGCCTGCCTGACTGTAACTGGGCTTTTTGCTTGTGAAGGCTGCTGTCTACTGTTACTTAGCCACAAAAATACTCCCTGTGGCTTGTGATCTTTTGAGGAGGATAAAGAAGGGAAGAAGAAAGTTCTGTAGGCCTTTGTGTACTGTTTCATTTAAACATAGTAGTCTTGCAATGACAAGATATTCACCGATTCAGAGAAATATGTATTCTGTAAACTTCTGCACTGAGCAATATTATATCCATATGCAGCCCTTCCTACCCACTTCCATGGGAGTACTGTACACAGGTACAACAAATGCCTTGGAAGTGAAGCACTTTCTGCTGCAGTTGGAAAAACTTTGGAAATAAAGCCTGTGCTGCATAGAACTTGACTTCACAGCCCTTATGGCAAGCAGGGGCATGCGCTTGAGACTTCCCCCAGAGAATACTAGAATGAACTTGCATGTGACCGGGATAGCAAGAGTTGTAACGACCCTAATAGCTCTAGAACAGTGGTTTTCAAACTCTTCAATTTGTAGATCCATGGAAACTTCTACTGAAGATGGAAAACTACGCAATTCTGACAGTTATTTGTTGGGGCTTTTTAGAAAGTCTGTGTGTAGATCCTGAGTTCAAAGCTGCGGCCTTAGATGTTACTATCCTTTCTGCTGGTTTGGCTTTTTGGAGAACCAGCTAGCCTTCAGCATCACTGTTACTCTGTAGACAGAAAGTATCTGTTGAGATGTTCAGTCATATTTGGGGAAGAAACAGCGCATGAGCCAAAGCAGCAGTGAGACCCTTAGTCAAGCGTAAAGGAGATGAGAAAGTTTTGGAGGCAGTTCAAGTGGCAGCTTGAACTCTTCATTTTGTGCTGTTGATGATAGTAGAGCAACATAGCTGTCATTTGATTTTGAGTTTTAGAGCTAGACAATGATGCACTGAGCAGAAAATTGATCCTGATGACTTAGTACCACCAGGTGATGAAATGAATAATTCTAATTTTGAAACAATTTATGCCAACAAGTAAAACAACTAGTATGGATTTTCTTCTTGACCTTTCTGAGATAGCCTGAATTGGGGCTATAATAATCAAGAACTGGAAAGCACTAGTATTAAATGAAATAAATACTCTAAACAGAACTCTAGACCACGTTCTGACAAGGATCGAGATGCCTAAGTGGACATGTGAAATGTCCACAGCCCCTTCTCAGTTTTACACTGGAGAGAAGGGCACTGTTTCAACCATCAGAATTTCCCAGGAGGCTGTTAGCTAAGTCTCATCTGTTTCTTGGTAAGAAACTGTTAATGGAAACTCTAAACAGTGTTGAGAATCCAGGCAGCTCTGATGAGTGCTGTAGCACCTGAGCCGCTAGACAAAAAGCGGCCGCAGGACACCTTGCACACCTCTGTTTTATGGGCTGTTTACATTCAGAAGAGGAATGTGCTTTGAGCTATGCCATTGCAGGCTGTTTGGGCCAGACAACGTATGGCTGAGTTTGATGGCTCTTGGATAGTTCACTCTTTGGCATCCAACTCTCGCCTTGTGGTCAGGTTAAGTACATAACTAAGATCAGTCAATTTTGTTGTGACAAGGACAGCAAAAGCGTTGCAGTGTTAAACACCAGAGCATCTACTAGGTTTTTAAGGGTCGAGTCCGTAACCTCTTTGCTAAGCTTCACACACTTCTTGATTAAAGCTGATATCCAATGGTGGAAATAAGACTTGGCCTATCTACTCATGCAAAACGAACCAGAATGAATACAGATTCTGGTACCTGCCCAGGTACCAAGGAAAAAAAAAAACCAACAAAAAACATTTCAACTGATTTGTGACATGCTTATTAAGTGTTACTTAGTAGAAGCTAAGGAATGAATAACTAAGGAAAGAGAATTCCTTACTGCAGTATTTGGGCATACAGATTGGCAGTGCACCCGTGCCAACTTCTCTTGCTTCTGTAGCTGTTTTGCAGAAGCACGCTTTGCCTTAAATACAGTACAGGAAGCACCTGTGAGTAACTGCCATACAGGCTCAGATCACAAAAGCGGAGTTCACTGAGAGTGAACATAAAGCTAAACTGCTGCTGACGCTTTTCATTACAGAAATCTATGGTGATGGGTGATTAAGGGATGTCAACCCAGCAATCTGGATTACTGTTACAGTTTTAAGTTACGTGAGCACTAGATGGGGCTGTTGCTCCACATACTTTTTACCGAAAATTTACATGACACACCCCCGTGACAGGAAATCAAGGTGTTTCAATGTGGACTATCTGGTTTCTGCTGCAAGCCTAAAGCATCCACCTGGGATGAAATGTGATAGATGGTGAGATGCATGAAACAAAACTCAAAATCCTCTCAATATAAAAAATAAAAGCAGAAAGCCAACCTAAAATAAACACAAATTATTTTAGTAGTAAAGGAAAAGTATAATCATCTTGCTGTATATTTTCTCAAGGAATATGCACTGTTCCTACACTGGTGCATATCCCTAACTGTCCTCCGGTTATCATCACACAGCTGGGAAGAAAA